AGAAGTGTTTCTGAGTGCCTGCGATAACGTTTACATAAGTAACTGATAGAGTTAGTTTTGTCAAAGCTTATGCCATGTTTTTTTATATTTGAGACACAGCTAAAGAAAATGAAACTAATGCTTACATAATATCCATATTAATGACCTCTTAATGATAAAAAGTAGTGTTTCTTAAGAGACAATTATATTTTCGTGTAAGAGTATATGGTATTAATTTTAAATTTACATATCCTCATATTTGCCCTAACACAAAAAATGTTGGCAACCCCTGGGCTTGTATTGCAGAACTATTGTCCTATTTTAATGTTTGCAACCTGTGAATGTCTTATGTTTCAGAATCTCTTAATGTATCCACCTGTTCACCGTGTTATTCGTCTTGCTTTGATTTAATCGTTAATTTCTTAATCAAATTCTCAATCATATCTGCATCAACTAAACCAATAAACTTATCAACTACTAAACCATTTCTTACGGCAAGAACGGCCGGTACTGCCTTGACTTCAAAAGCGTGAACCAGTTCGGCATTGTTCTCTACGTCAATAACGGCAAGATGAATATCATTCATTGGCTCAACCAACTCTTTAAGTTTTGGAGACAAGATCTTACAGGGGTCACACCATTCTGCATGGAAGTTCACAATAACAGGAACATCGCTGTTCATGACCTTGTTAACAAAATCTTCACTGTTCTTTATCACAAAAGATTTTCTTACTTGGGAAGTGCTTGAAAAGTTGTTGGACATATTTTGTTTGCAGCAGAAGTTTGACATGGAGAACATATTTCTTGTTGCTCCCTGTATGGCCAGTGTTCTGGGTACACATCGCACAGCATTACTTAATGCATTTGCTAAAGTTGATGAATTCATCATTTTATGTAATTCGAGAATTCTACTCAACCATGACAAAGTGTTAATGAAGCTGCTGTCGTCAACATGAAGAAACAGGCACTTACAGTTTCCACTGCTTAATCGGATGCGCGTGCTGCGGTTCCATCAGATGCGTGACGACAAAAATCAGGAATCCTATGGCAGCCGACAGTCCCAGCAGAATAACAAGAGATGTTCTCCAAACAAACAACAGGTCATACAACTGTAAAATATACAAACATACAAAATAAATACATGTTCATGTCACATAATTAGACAACAACAGTGTGAGTAGACTTTGTGCTTTCATGGCTGGAAATGAAGATGGTACATTTCTCTGAAACCTATCTACCTACAAGTCCACTCAGCATTATAACCCTGAACATAACATCCACATGTCAGCTGTGTCTTTAGTAAAGGTCACACAAGTAGTGGTGGCACCTAAATGCGCGATGCGTAAGCCGAGAGAGGGGAGTTCAGTAGTAGTGAGGGTCGCACAGCCTCAGCTACAGTGACGCACTGATCTAAACATAGCTAGAGCTACAAACCAACTGAAGCTAACACTCCTCTAGCGCGTGCTTCGGACGGGTCCATCTCATACGACCAAAATCAGTCCTTTGCGCAAGTGCCAGCACTTCTCACCCGACCTCTACCTCTTATTTTTAATATTAGCGTCAGTCTCAGTGGTCTAGTGAAGGGATTGCCAACCATTATCCCAAAGAAGTGTTTCTGATTTCCTGCAACAACTTTTAAATAAGCAGTTGATAGAGTTATTTCTGTCAATGCTTATGTCTAGTTTTCTTATATCTAAGATACAGTTAAATAATATGAAAAAAATTCTTACATAATATCTGTACTAATAGCCCCTTAATTGTAAAAAGTTGTTTTTTTAAACAGTAAATTTTATTTTTATGTAAATGTACACAGGGACTATTTTGAATTGAAACCTTATCCTTATTGCCCTAACCCAAATCATACATCTGTATAATGTTTTGTCATTCAAGATAAAAGAATGACCCCCAATATTCTACATAAAGTTTAAATCACGATGAAATTAAAATATTGGCAGCTTTGTAACTGCTGAGAACGGAAGCTATGTCCACATGACATTTTTGATATTGAATGACCTCCACAATAGGATACTAAAGTACTGACAAAAGTCACTGAACATTCTATATAAATATGATCAATCTTTTGATTACTAAATGCTCTTATATATTTGTTACTGATATCCGAACACAAAAGTTAAATATATACTTCAACATTTCTCGCAGCTGCACTAGACTTCTGTTAAGAAATAATGGAACCCAAACATACTAAAGAAAATACGTATATTTACCTTAAACACGGGTTTCTTGGGTATTTCTGATTCTCTAGGAATAAGAACCAGGATTAAAGTTACCACTGTAGCAATTGTAACTATTGCTGTGCCAACATGTTTATGGGTACGGTGGGAGATAATGCAAACGAGAATAGCAACGGCCCAAAGAGCTATAATGAGGAATAAACCAATTCCCACACCCAGTACACGGACCGTCATCACCTGAAATAGATAAAAAAAAGCAACACGTTCGGTTCCAATGTACACAATATGCAGCAATGTTGCATGAGCAAGTGTACTATAATGTACGACTGTTCCCACTAACAGTACCACCAACATCGACGAACATACCTTGAACGGCTAACCATAATTACATCACACATTCTACCCAGAGCAGCCATGTTAAACTTGCGCCCAATCTTATATCAATTGTTTTGTCGTTTTAGTTTCAAAGTTGACCATTCATCAGGAATCGCGCTCTGGTACAGATAGAAATAGTCTTGTTGACCGAAGTCGAAATGGTATTACAATTAATTGAATATACTTATGACATAGTTGTTAATATTTTGGAAAGGAATACATGTTACAGCAAGATAATACAACTTTTTGAAGTTACAAATCTCTGTGAAAAGCAAGTGACTATTTGTGAGGTTATGTTGTGAGATGATGTAAAAGAGGGTTCTGTGTACAACATCCTTGTGGTTCTGTTTCTAGTTTCGACAACGTATACTACACAAACCGGGGGAAGTGGCCACTAAGATTTATCATTTCACAAGAATATATTTACTACGGTACCCAGCAATTTCGCAGGTCGAATGTGGACATAATGCAGTGAGTTCACATACAGTAGTATGCATGATATGAGAATTGAATAACAGAGAAAGGACTTATCAAAGTAAAGCTCCAAAAAGGACTTGTTCGGTGAACACCAACTCACTTAAATTATTTACATTACAAATGATGTAACACTGGTCCTTACTTTGGTAGTAATATGTCTTGAATCACAGTTTGTTGTAATCTAAAACAAGCACATGTTGAATTCAACCAATATAAACTATTCTAACCTGTCCAATCCACGAATCCTGCTATCAAGTTTAATTTTTATTTAGGTTACTAGCCCCAATACAAACCATTCTAACTTAAATAATAAAAAAGTTCACCATATTATAACAGTATAAGTAGGATACCAGTACAGCCTATGTGCTGTATGCATGTTGAAGTGGTAAGAGATTGCATGATGTGAGTGCAAGAGAAAGCTACCTCTTGCCATATTTCTATGTTCTGCCAATCTAAAGTAAGATATTAAAAACTGGATTTTCTGTAACTACATTAAGGCTCAGAGTTATAGTTAAGCAGATAAGTTTGGCTTCAATAGTTTTGTATAATAGACACAGTAAAGATTTCATGCCACATTACATGACACTCAGCCATGTGGCTAATAAAAACACTGGTGTAAAGTAACCCATCATTACGTGCACCTCATCAGTACTACAGTACTCACAATAAGATTCCAAAACACTTAGTGTGAAGTCATTCTGCAAGTGTAATGATGAGTAGACCGTCTTTACTTTGATAACAATGACAAATACTGTTAATGATTTTTGTAGAACAATCGCTCTGTTTTGACCCTGAAGTATAAAAATAGGTGAACCTGGTCGTTGCGGAGTACTGTTAAAAGATTAATAGTATATCTAGAAGCGGGTTCATTTCATTTGCTCTTACAGTACTGTAAAATGATACTGGGTACTTAACTTTAGTATTAAACCATCAGATACAACATTTTATTATCTACACTATGTTTTGTTTACCACCGTACTACTGCTCCATAGAAGAATTTACCTCAACAAAAAATTCTTGGCTATTATAAATTCATGTAAGTAGTGGTGATGCTTTCTTGTGTAGTTTTTTTTGGGGTAATACTATAGTGGACTGAATTATGGTCATAACTGAGTAGTCTATATTTGTATTAGAAACAAGTATTCTATTTGTGCTATGACAGGTTCTTCATCCTTGGCTTTGGTTGATGAGGGATCTATAGAATGTAAATAAATTCTATTCTGTTCCCTGTACATTTTACCCCTAAACAACCATCATTAGGGGTTTCTTTAAAACCTTTAACAAGCTATAGGGTTTACATAAAGGTTGTACTCACTTATTATGTTCTAATCTGCAGTATTGTAACAAATTCTATATGAATTTTGTTGCTCTTTGAAAGGTACAAAGGGAGTCTCTGATGAGGGGCTGGAACATTTGGAAATGAACAATGTATAAAGTGTAAATAATAAGAAGCTGTATCTATGGTTCAACAATGATGTCACCTTGGGTGATCAGCAACGTGAGAATGACACTATAATCCAGTGTTTTGAAGACTGTCTCCATCTATCCTGATGTTGGAGGCAGAGAGTCACAAAATGTTGGATTACAACACAGTCTTAACATGGCTGATTGTCCACAAAGACTTCAAATTATTCAAATTTTAAAGGGTACTGGTTGCTTCTCTGTGCTGCTAATTCATCTTGTAAACGTAGTTAACATATTGTAGGGCAGGTTAAACGTGTAGTCTCGTGGGTCAGTCTGTATTAATCAGTAGTTTTTGAGGTGTTATGTGAACCAGATTCAGTTTACCCATCTCTCACAGTTCTGCTTATTTATGCAGCCTTTCGTTGCTTCAGTGATTGGGGTGAACGTGGTATCGTGGGAGACTAGTTTGTTTTGCATGGGGTATGCTGTAGCACAGTTGTTTAATTACTGGTTTCTCACTGTAAAGGCTGCGTTTCGCTCCCAGGGCAGTCCACATGGGATTTGCAGTGGTCAGAGTGGTACTGCGACAAGTTTTTCGCCGAGTCCCTTGTCTATCTTCTGTCTACTGCTGCTCTATATTCACACATGGGGGGGCGGATTTTGGGCCTCTTAACATCCAGTTTCACAGAGATGTAGTATCATCCCATTGTTACAGCTGCAATAACAAAATGTTTATGACAGTGCTTTTATTAATCATTTACATGGAACAGGCTGTCAAACAGTTTGGCAAGAAATTTTTACTAGCTTTAAAATTATTTGAACATATTTCTTATTTTGTATTCTGTAAACATACGGTTTGTAGAGGTCTTGAATTTTGTATACTCGTGATTTTATAAAAACAAACAATGGATGTTTAAAAGATTTCAGTTTTTTGTTGAATATTCAAGATATTCTTTTATCTCTGTTTATGTTGCATTCTGACATTTTCTTATGTTATCTACTTTCTTTATGCTATGGGCATCATGAAGCCAAACAAACATAAATTGTAATTGTTGCCTTTTTGTCAATATTCTTCTTTCCTAGATTCGATATTTCTCTAGTCCAGCTCGCCGGCCAAACTTCTTGTCCCAGCTTCTGGAGAATATCAAACAGGACATGGCCAAAAATAAAGAAATGAAAGAGAGTCTTAAAAAATTCAGGGAAGAAGCAGAGAAACTAGAACAGTCTGAGGCTCTACAAAAAGCCAGGTTGTGTAACGTATCAGTAATGTTTAAATTATCGCTTAAATAAAACTTACGATTGAATGTACCTTTCTTTTTTTTCTGCCCAGAGTTGATGTTATGCAAGTAAGGATAATTTAATTCATTCTTTCATTTAGGGAATGTGGGTTAATGATGGAGTAATTTTTAATCTTCATAACATAACTAACAAACTGCATGGTACAGCAAGGCCATCCTTGTGCAGTTGATTAAGTTAGTCGTGAAATTACTGCTGTTACGGAACCACAAGATGACATGCTCATTTTAACAAAATATCATCACTGGACATGATGTGGAGCCAGTTCAAATCATCACAACCTCTTTCTGTAAGATCCATTTTAATATTGTCTCATGTCTGTCTACGTCACTTATCCTGTAAGTACTCAAAAAGTGTGGCATGAAATTAAGATGGCTGTCTTCTGGGTTGTTGCGCCGTGTAGTTTGGTATGAGTTTACCGATGTTTCAGAGGTCCTTGCCCAGTGATGACTTGAAACATTAGTGAGCTGATACCAGACTACACGGCGCAACAACCCAGAAGACAGACATAATCAGACTCACCGCTGTGAATACCTGAAATCCTACGTGGCATGAAATGTTTTGTGTGTTGAAAACTGGCAGTGTTACAAAATGTTAATATCTGGTAATATCAAATGATATTATTGGAAACTATGGACAAGGATAGAGCAGTAAATTATATTATTAAGATGTAACATAAATTACATTTAAAAAAAAAATTGAAAAAAGGGGAAACATAATTAACAATATAAACTCATGTTTTTGTAAGAACATAGTTGTGCGTTGTTAATTTAATATTGTATGTATATTTTAATAAAAGTATTTCACTTACAGGCAGAAATTTCAGTCAGTTGAATCAGAGGCTTCAAGAGGATCTGAGGTGTTGAAGGATACACTTGGGTCTCTCAAGGGAAAGGTACAAGAAGCTTTGGAGGAAGCAAGTAAATCTGACATTGCCAAGAAAGCTGGTTAGTGTTAACTGTGGCTGTCGTGTGAATCTGCTTTGTGGTAGTTTATTTATGTGAACTTGATAGGAATTGTAAGATTTGAGGTTTTCACAGTGGTGAGTATGAAGATTTCTGTCTTTTGGGTTGTTGTACCATGTAGTCTGGTAGATATTTACCAACGTTTCAGAGGTGATGAATCGCCCTGATGACGGAGGCAGCGTGACCTCTGAAACGTTCGACCAGGCTTCACAGCGCAACAACCCAGAAGACAGAAATCTTTATAGGAATTGTAGAAATTGCAATTCAATATGCAGAGTTGGAAGATGGAATGCCAAGTGAATTACGGGTGAGACGGCGACTGAGCAGTGTGTCCACCTGAGTGACACTGGAAGATCAGTACAGTGACTACAGGTAGCTCTCGGTTTACAAACATTCGCTATAATTTACGTCACAATTCAAAATTTCTTAAAGTCTCCAATAGATAGAGTTTCTTATAAAATGAAATGCCAAATGTATAGTGAACATAATTGTAAGATTTAAATAAATAAACTTTTAAAAAATATATTTGATACAATAATTATCAGAAAATTATTATCTGATAATTATACTGAACTGTTCTTGGTTAATAAAACTAATCTAGCCAGTAAAAAGACGTTGGTTTACATGCCACGCCACGTAGAATGTTTTCTCACATAACGCATACATACATTATAATAAAACGTATTGTATAGACCATTTGATGTTTAGTACATGGTTTTAGTGCTTTAAAATGGCTGCTAACGTATACGAAACATATCGTAAAAGCTCAGGAATGCAAGATACACATAACAAACAAAAACGTAAAATGAACGTCTTGGAACATCTGTATCCAGATAATCATGATTGACTTTGAAGCGACAGAAATTAATGCAGCTAATAATATATTGTAGTAATGTGAAATAAATATCTTTTTTATATATGTTTTTGATGACAGAATGCACTGTGTAATCACTGAATACATTTATGTAAGGTGTTTTGGGGTAACTTATGGGACACATCAGCTATTGGCATATGCTGATGATGTTAATTTATTGAGTGATGATATAAATACAATAAAGAGGAACACAAAAGTTTTACTAGAACCTAGTAGGCAGGTGGGGCTAGAAGTAAATTCAGAAAAAACTATGTACATGTTAGTATCTCGTCATCAGCAGACAGGTGGGAAAAATCATATTAGGGTGGCTAATAAATCCTTTGAAAGTGTGACAAGAGTTCAAATATTCGGCAACAACAAAAACAAATCAAAATGATATTAACTCTGAAGGAGGAACACAAATTGCAGGTGTTTGAGAATAGGATGTTGAGGAGGATATTTGGGCCTAAGAGGGAAAATGATGGGGCATGGAGAAAACTGCATAATGATGAGCTTAAAAATCTGCACTCCTCCAATATTGTCAGGGTGATTAAGTCGAGAAGAATGAGATCGGCGGGGCATGTAGCGCGCATGGATGGGACAAGAGGTGTGCACCGGGTATTGGTTGGGAAGCCTGAGGGGAAGAGATTGCTGGGGAGACCTAGACGTAGATGGGAGGATAATCTCAGGCGGGGTCTATGGGAGATAGGAGTTGAAGGAGACTGGATTTTGTTGGCCCAGGGCAGGGTCTGGTGGAGGGCTTTGGTTAATACGGTGATGAACCTTCGGGTTCGGTAAGCCATCTAGTTAGTTAGTTTTATCATCACTTACTTTGTTAGCATAATTTTAATATTGATGGTGAACAGGTGAAATAAACTAGTAAAAATTAATCATACTTTACTGGAAGTTATACAATGCATCAGAAATCCTCTATTGTTTTGTAATGCACTTCCTGATATTGTCTGTGCTTCTGCATTTCAGATTTAAATGCTAATAATCCTTAACTTTGTTTTTAATCATCCTTGCAGGACAGCTGACAGAAGGACTGGGCAAGACAGCGCGTGAAGCTGCAGAGACTCTGTCAGAACAAAGTCAGAAATTGGGTAAAACTGGAGCCTTCCAGACTGTCTCTGAGACAGCTAAAATAGTGAAAAAAGAGCTGGATGAGGGCGGGATACACGCGCACGTGTATCGTCCACCGGCTCGACTCCGAAAGAGGGTCGAGACTTCAGAAGACGTGGATGATAAAGTCATTGAACCAAACACAAAGGCAACAGGGATGGAACTTCATAAGGATTCAAAGTAATATTACTGGCACAGTCTAGTTGTGGTTCACACTCTGTGGTCTGTAAATTTAAGTATTTTTAATTTTAAGGTTGCTTTCTGGGAAGAACAACCTTATAGTGAGATCATGTCTGTTTCAACTTTTAATGAATTACATTTTCTTGTGTATCATTTAGAATTTTATTGTGATTTTGCAAATGTGTATTTTCATCATTGACTAATAACTTTTGAATCACTGGCACTGTTGTCATATTTAATACTGAGATCATGCCTTTACCTGTGATCTTGATACCATATTTTTCTGTAATAGTTACTTCAGTAACTCTAAGATGGCGATTTTGAAGAAAGTTTAAATGTAGACAGAGGTAACAGAAACCAGCCTTCATTAGTAGAGGTGTTTCAGTTTGTGATTTCTGGATTTCCACAATACATGACCGCAAGGCATTTGTTAGACGAAACATGTCTGGGAGCAGTCTCTCTTTCGAATGTATCAGTTTGTAAGCCTTTCTAATATAATCTGTTGGCACTGTATATTTGATCCAATTTCAAGTTTCTTCTTCTACAAATTTCTGAAATTTTATGTGAAACATATTGGCTACGCCATGATTGGCCATGCCTTTCTCTGTACAGGAATCTCGTGAACACTGTATCACTGCTAGATTCTGGTCAGCCATCCAATGGATGCACTGAATTCACCTTCTAAACCCAATGCTTCATGAAGTACTTGGCTTTCTGTGCACACAAGGGATAAGACACTGGTGTTCCTTCTGCTCGCTTCTGGTTGCACTACTGAAGGAGGTCAAAATCCACATCTTTGTAAAAACACTTTTTCATATTCTTGCAGTTGGAAGGTCACCTATTTCTGTCGCCAATTTCCCATTCTCGAATTTTTAAAATTAACTTCACCATTTGTTTCACTGTACAATTTTCTTATGTTTTTCAGAGATTCTTCTTAGGATTCACGAGTGTTGACTACTGTATTACTTTTTCCTGACGCACAGTACAGCGCAACAGAACTGACTGTAAGACACTAATATTTTAAAAGACTAGGTACCTATAGGATCCCCTCTCTACACCACCGTGACCCCTGGAACAAACCCCGCATCCCACCACTGATATCACCATAAAGCAACAAAAGAAGAAGGTATTCTTTGACCATATTCAACCATAAACGCCCCAAACAGACAATATGATTGTGAAAGAGGACGAAAGTCTAGTTTATGCATACTGCACATGTATAATAAGGAGTTTAATATATTTTTTCATGTTATAATAATGCAAAATTGTGATATTATTTTCAGGTTTTATCAGAACTGGCAGAATTTCAAAGATAATAATCCTTACGTGAACAAAGTACTCGACTGGAAGATAAAATATGATGAAAGTGACAATCCAGTGATAAGAGCATCTCGTCTTCTTACCGATAAGGTGTCGGATATCGTGGGTGGCCTCTTCCAGAAAACGGAGCTGTCAGAAACGCTGACCGAGATCTGCAAACTTGATCCTAGCTTTGATAAAATTAAATTTCTGCGGGACTGTGAGCAAGACATTATTCCAAATATATTAGAAGCAATTGTACAAGGTGACTTAGAAATCCTTCGAGATTGGTGTTACGAAGCTCCATTTAATTTATTGGCTACTCCTATAAGACAAGCCGCTGCTGCTGGTTATCGATTAGATTCAAAAATATTGGACATTGACAATGTAGATTTAGCAATGGGGAAAGTTATGGATCAAGGACCTGTGCTAATTGTGACTTTCACTTCGCAACAGATTCTCTGTGCACGTGATAATAAAAATAATGTAGTAGAAGGTGATCCAGATAAAATTTTGAGAGTCCATTATGTGTGGGTTCTTTGTAGAGATCGTGCCGAAGTAAACCCAAGAGCAGCGTGGAAGTTACTGGATCTGTCGGCAAGCAGCACTGAACAATTTGTTTAATAAATGCAAGTGAGAAAAATTAGTGTTGATACTGTATATCCATTTCCAAAAATTAGGTTGCTGTAAATATTATACATCAATGTAATAATCTGATCTAGTTTTTGACCTTAACATTTTTTGGCCTGTTTTACCTTTTGTTCACATGTTCAAAATTGTTGTCCTTTTAAAAATGTGTTACTTAAAAGAACTAATCTGAAAAAAGTTACTAATAAAAATTTTAAAATTATGCTGTAGGTATGTGCCAGTAGTTTAACCCTTTGAAGCCCATAAATCATGATGAAATACTCTCAGGCTACAAGTCGTGTCAGGTGGCAGAATGGCAAACAAACCAAATCTTCTGCCAACGTTTCGAGAACCATCTCTGTTCTCATCATCTGGGTTGCACGCCAGATGGTTCTCAAAACGCTGGCAGAAGATTTGGTTTGTTCAGCATTGAGCCACCTGATGCAGCTTGTAGCCCGAGAGTATTTAATCAATTTCAGTCGCCGTGAAGCTTCATCCCATAAATCATATTTAAAAATTCAGTTCTTACCTCAAAGAAAACAGTACATCTAGGAAAATCACTGTTTATTCTGAGGATGATACAGAACCCGCAAATAAACCGTGGACAAAATGCAAATTTACTGAGTGTCGGAACAGATGGTCCACAAAGGTCACTGGGCTTTAAAAGGTTACAATTCAAAATAATCACAAATTTAATGGACATCTGATTGGATCTGGGTTCTGAGTTTTAGGAAGAAAAAAAACCGTTTTCCAGTTCACATGTGAACTAAAAGCCTATATATATATATAGCAAAGTCATGCAGAAGCCAATAAGTATAATAGTTGCTCAGGCACTCAAACTTTCTGCCTGAACACCTTAAAATGCATTCACAAGAATCTGACATTGGTCCCTGTTCTGAACCAGATTAATCCAGTCCACACTTTCCCACACCATTTCTTTAAGATCCATTTCCATCAATATTTAGGTCTTACAAGTGGTCTTTTCACTTCAGATATTTCTGAGCAAAATATGGTATGCACTTCTCATTGCTCGTATACATTCTACATGCCCAGTCCATCTTATCCTCCTTGATTTGATTGGTCCATTAATATCTGTCAAAGAATGGAAGTTATGAAACTTCTCATCAAAACTTCCTCCCTCTTAGGCCCCGATATTCTCCCCCACCACCATTCTCGCACCCCCAACCTATGTTCAGTTTTTTTAATGTATGAGACGAAGTTGTATGCCCTTAGAAAACAGGTAACACTGTAATACAGGTATTGTATTTTTTTAATCTTTAGATAGAAAATCAAGAAGCAACAGAGTCTGGCCTGCATTAATCTGCTTTTAATTTATTCATGAATGCAATTTTGATCTTTTCCTATCATTCACAAATATTTGCATTTAGTCTTATTTTTGAAAGGTTTATTAGCTTCATCGTAATCCATTTTGATGATTAGACACAAATGTATAAATGTTGGTTTTCTGGGTTGTAATGCCGTATGAACTTGCAAGTAGATACATTCTTGGAGGAACATACTGCCTCCACCATCATGGCTTAAGTGTGTATGTAAATACTAATTCTTCAGAAGAACATACTGACTCCATTCTTCAGCCCTGAAGATGGAGCCAATATGTTCCTCTAAAATGTTTGTATCTTCTAACAAAGTTCACGTGGTGTTAACAACCAAAAAGGCTAACATCAAAACATCTATACCACTGTGAGAACATCTATGTTAGATTCCACTGTAACTTATGTATTTACTTTGAGACTAACCTCCTTACAGGGGACATGAAATAACTTCAAGCTTGAACCGTCACAGCAAATTGTCAAAACGTCTGTCTGAACATAACAAAATTTTTTCCCCTTTTAATTTCAACACTGTCAGCAGCATTTTGATAGACTGGCCTTTACACTACACTGTGGTTTTCAAATCAAAGAACTATAAAACACCAGCGAGGTACAGGCCTTACCTCACACATGCTACTTTTACAGCCTAAACATAATAATTTTACATCCGACAGTACAAGGAAGAACTGGGTTACCTCTGTCCGTTATGTGCTATCCCTTTCCAGTCTTCCCTCCTCCCACTTGTGTATTTGTAACGGTTGACGAAGTCAGCAGTTATTTTGCATCCACTGTGCTGGCATCTAATAGGGCTTGTTTTTTCCTAACAAATTAATGTCAGCAGCACAGACTAGAAGCTGGTGTCTCCCACTCAATTCTGGTCCTGCCTGATTTTCTTCAGTTTTCCTAATGGTATATTCTAAAACAAAGTTGAAAACCAGTGCTGATAAAGCCTTTTCTTTTAGAAGACCATTCTGAATAGAAAATGACTGGACATGACAGTTGAGTGGTCCTGCTTCATATCTGGGTTCAAATTTCAGCCCAGAGAATGACTATCTCGACAGGTTTCTCATGGCAAATGCTGAGAAAGCTTGTAGAAAATACAATTTTTTCCCTTCGCTATTCTTTCTAATACAAAATTCATTAACTATCCTATCATCTGACACTACATAGTCTCAGCTGCTGACAGTATCATTAAATAAACAAACATAAAATGCATGATACATACATTTGCCTACACAGACTTTTTATAGACTTCATTTAAAACATTTTAATAGCCTAATTAGGTTCATGGATGTTCCAAATTCAGTTGCGATATTGTGTAATTCTCTCCTAATTGAATAACAGGATTTTTTCTACAGCACATGAAGTTGTTTTAATTTTTTTTCCAGTACCTATCAAAAAGAATATGTGATCAATCTATTAAATTCTGAATTCTCATTTTCAATTCAAAATAATTTTGTCAGTAAAATTCAGAAGTAAATGAAATATTGGTCTTCTGGTTGCCATATTTTTAATAAACAGATTTTGTCATCGTTTTATATTAATAAAATACAAGCAAAAACATGGTAATGCTATGAGGGCTTTCTCAGTACATGAAGAGCATCATTTTAAGAACTGCAGTTAACCACTGGATTTAGTGGTCTCTGGGGTGGGATCAATAAAAAAAAATTCAAACACTTCATAGTTATAAATTAAAATTAGTCATTGCTAGCATTAAAATTACACAAGAAATGACATCAGACTGTGTTAAGTGGGTCCCTTATCACCATGTCATGTGGAAAAGGCCTCCAGATATGAAGAGTACCTGAAAGTATATTGAATAAGCAGCTGTGGACAGCCAACAAGGGGTGTTTCTTCAGCTTGGAGGTTGGACTTGAAAATAACAACTACCTACCATAGAAAATCAGACAGGATTTTTTGTACAGAAGGGAATCACATCAGCAATTAAGAGGGCAGACTTTATTAGCGTCAGAAGCCATACATATATATATATATAACACAAAGAGGCAGTTCGTGTGATATTACAATGAATGCATGTAGCAACTGAGGATAACCGAGATGATACAATTTCTATGAGGAACTACAATATGTATTTGATCAACTTCCTAAGTACCACGTGAAAGTTGTTAGGAGATTTCAATACAAATGTGAAGAGAAGATATTTTCAAACTGAAAATTTGGAATGAGAGTTTACATGAAACTAGTAATGATAATGGGGTCAGAGTAATAAACTTTGCCACATAAAAATATCTAGCTGTTAAGAGCATACAGAATGTAAGATTTGAGGTTTTCACAGCGGTGAGTATGAAGATATCCGTCTTCTGGGTTGTTGCGCCGTGTAGTCTGGTCGATGTTAACCAACGTTTCAGAGGTTATACTGCCTCCATCATCAGGGCGATGAGTATGAAGATTTCCGTCTTCTGGGTTGTTGCGCCGTGTAGTCTGGTCGATGTTAACCAACGTTTCAGAGGTTATACTGCCTCCATCATCAGGGCGATGAGTATGAAGATTTCCGTCTTCTGGGTTGTTGCGCCGTGTAGTCTGGTCGATGTTACCCAACGTTTCAGAGGTCATACTGCCTCCGTCATCAGGGCGATGACGGAGGCAGTATGACCTCTGAAACGTTGGTAAACATCGACCAGACTGCACAGCGCAACAACCCAGAAGATGGAAATCTTCAGCATACAGAATGTTCCCACATGGCAAAATTCATAAATACACTTAGACTTGACAGAAAGACAAAGTCAGATTCGTCACGTCTTGACAGAAGGAAGACAACACTCAAGTGTACTTCATGTCTGATATTCTAAAGGGGCTGTGTCAGTGACCACTATTTGGTAGAAGCAAAATTTTTGGAGGCTGTTAAGTAAACAAGAAACAAAAATTTGACAAGAGATTTCATCTCAAGCAGCTTAACAATGCAGAAGGAACAATAAAAGTAAAGTGAAGCTGTCCCAGTATACATCATATAGACACTTGGGGGAAGAGGAAGTATAGCTGTATAGCTCCTACTCATTCTTGACCTCGGCACTTGATGGGGGTGAGTGGATAGCATCAGATCCCGGCTCCGCTTTACCCCCAGGAAAGGACCCTGGTACCCACTGGGAGGCTGGGTGGGCCCCAGAGCTGGTCTGGAAGCAGAGGCTAGAGGAAAAATCCTCTGCTGCCCCCGCCGGGGATCGAATCCCAGTCGTCCAGTCCGTAGTCAGTCACTACACTGAATAAGCTAAAGGAACAATATCAGATAAAAATCTCAAAACTGGTTTGCAGCAATGGAAAACTTGGATGATGATGTGGAAATCAACTGAGCTTGGGGGAAACATCAAGCTTTCAGTCAAAGAGAGTCTAGGTCATTACAAGTTAAAGCAGCAAAAACCATCGTTTGATGAACAATGGTAAGAGTTATTAGATAAAAGGAAACAGATTAAATTGCAGTGGTTGCAGAATATGGACAGTGTGAGATGATAAGACACCAGAACTTCCAAGGATCAAAGAATGGGAACATCTGAAGGACAAAATTAAAGACCTGTGACACAAACAGAACAGAAATATTACAGATCTGCATACAGGCATAAATGAATTTGAAAAGGGTTACCACCCTGGGACTTTTATTAAAACATAAGAATGTGGCCTGATTGTCTATTCCCACATTGTTAGGTGGAAGAATTACTTTTGCCAGCTAAGTAAAGCACACAGGGTTAATGATATAAAGCAAATTGAGCTGTTAGTACCTGATCTTATATATTTTGAGGTTGAGACAGCCACTGAGAAGCTGAAAAGATACAAATCACCAGGTATTGATCAAATTCTTGTAGAATTTATCCAACCAGGAGGTAAAATATTACAGTCTGAGATCCACAAACTTATTAATTTTATGTGGAATAAGGAGCAA